TGCTGCCTCAGGGCCTGGATGGATTGTTGTCATTGATGGGAAAATGAATTCCAGAATTTATCAAGACATTTTGCATGAAAACGTACGACCATCTGTCCGCCAACTGAAGCTCTGCAGAGGATGGGTGATGCAACAGGACAATGACCCAAAGCATGCAAGTAATTCAACAAAACAATGGCTGCAACAGCACAGAATACGCCTTCTGGATTGGCCCAGTCAGAGTCCTGACCTCAACCCGATTGAAATGCTGTGGCATGATCTTAAGAGAGCGATTCACACCAGACATCCCAAGAATATTGCTACACTGAAACAGTTTTGTGAAGAGGAGTGGTCCAAAATGACTCCAGATCGTTGTGCAGGTCTGATCTGCAACTACAGGAAACGTTTGGTTGAGGTTATTGCTGCCAAAGGAGGGTCAACCAGTTATTAAGTCCAAAGGCTCACATACTTTTTCCTCACTGCACTGTGAATGTTTACATGTTATGTGCAATTAAACCATGGCAACATCTAATGTTTGTGTAGTATTATGTTCAGCAGACTGTGTTCTTCTATTGTTGTGACTTAGATGACGTTCAGAGCACATTTTATGCACAATTCATGCAAAACTCCACGTAATCCCAAGGGGTTCACATACTTTTTCTTGCAACTGTAACACACGAATTCTGCTTCAAATGCTACTTTATGCTGTAGCACACCCTGTAAGGGCAACCTTTGAATTGAGTCCTATTTCCCCCTTAGAGCACACATCCAGGTGCACAGCATTTTTGACACTCTTCCACTAGCTTCAAAGTACAGTGTAGGGGTTCCTTTTTCCTTTTTTTTTTTCTTTTTTTTTATTGGGAACGATGAACTTGGTTAGGGAGAGGGAAGATGGGATACCCTGGTAAACTGTGGGATTGAACAACTTGAGGTCTCCACACCTTCTGGCTGCACTGTACACAAAAAAAATAAATAATGTCCTTCAGGATTGGAGCTACGAGGGGCGTGGCGTAACGCGTAGAAGCACCGTGGTGAAGCACTTCCGGTTCAGCGCCATCTTGGTACACCAGAGTGCTCTCAGTACACCCAGGAGAGGTGATACACACTGCGAATTGTCTTCTCTGCTAAATTGTGAGTTTGTACTTGGCATTTTTATCTACATTAAACCTGATATACAGTTTTGCACTATGGAGGATCTTTGTGTTTCTGTTGTATGATCCCAAAACATCATGAGCTTATAAGGGTATATACATTGCCACCTGCCCATGGAGGAACAACTGAAGGTGGATTAAAAAGGATTGAGGCTGGAGGAGTAATCTGTATCTTTGAAAGGAGCGTGCAGGATCCTGGGTGATCCATAAGGCATTGTGGCCCCTGTGGGTCGCAGGGGGAAGGTGAGCGGGCATGCCAGCCATTTAGGATTATCACTTACCACCTTCACCAACACAGGAGCACGCTTTGAAGAATTGTGTGTGTTATCGATATATGTGAAATCACCGGTTGCTGTGGACATTTGTATAAATATCACCTATATATATATACAAATCCGCACGTTCCTAACCCCAGAAACCACTAAACAGCTCATCCACTCCCTCATCATATCACGGCTCGACTACTGCAACTCCCTCCTCACCGGCCTGCCTCGCCGCTGGCTATCCCTGCTTCATTCGATCCTGAATACGGCTGCCAGACTCATTCACCTTTCCAACCGCTCCATCTCCGCCACCTCCCTCTGCCAATCCCTCCACTGGCTTCTGATTGCGCAGCGGATCAAATTCAAAATCCTAACACTGACGTACAAAGCTGTCCACCATACTGCCCCGAACTACATCACTGACCTAATATCCAAGTACCACCCAACACGCACAATCCGCTCCTCACAAGACCTCCTTCTCTCTAGTTCCCTGGTCTCCTCCTCCCATGCCCGCCTCCAGGACTTCTCCAGGGTGTCACCCATCCTCTGGAACTCCCTGCCCCAACCCATCAGACTATCACCTACTCTCCTCTCCTTTAGGCACACCCTGAAAACCCATCTCTTCAGGGAAGCCTACCCCACCCCCTGCTAACCTGCCGACCTCCTCCACTCTTCCTACCACTCCATCCCCCACAGCTATCTCCTCCTGTACCACTATCCCCTCCCTCCTAGATTGTAAGCTCGAAAGAGCAGGGCCCTCGATCCCCTCATGTTTTGCATTGTATTGGTATTGTTCTGTCACATGTTCTGTCCCCCTTTGTAATGTACAGCGCTGAGCGAACTATTGGCACTTTATAAATACTGTATAATAATAATAATAATATATATGGTGACTTATATCCCTGCATAGGGAATCACTGTGTACCACTTTAACTCTGGATATTTATGTTTGATTTACATTGCACCAATCACGTACAAATGTCACCTGAATAGATCTGGGTATAATCAGCATCATTTTATATCTTGAATTTAAAGGTATAGGTTTACTTATAGCGCTACATCACTATCATACCAATGACTTTTCTAAGCCACTGACTAAAGGAACAAGGAAGAAACTGGGGGTGGGCTAGCTAGGACTGAACTAACTAGCATTAACCGGTGGTGGTGGGGGTAACAGAGGGAGAAATCAAATCATATAGTAAACCTGGTGTAGTGGCCCAAAACTGCCACTAGATGTCAACATATAGCTGAACATTAATAATGTAATGCAGTTCAATACACAGAAAAAAAACATAAAGGTGAGGCAGAATAATGCTGAAAGTATAGTAAAATACCTGACAATGTGGCAGAAATATAGTGTGCTGCTAGCTTCTTCTTTGACATGACTAAGCAGCTGCTGGAATTCATAAAGAATGTCATGGACACCCTTTAATTGAATTGTGTCATGCCTCCTACCAGGACCCCTGATAAGAGAGACAGAGTTGGTCTTCCTGTTCTGGTCCTTGGCTCCATCAGTTGAGCGGGGGACCCGTGGGCAGAGAGGGGACGCTCTAAATACCTTTCCTTGCACAATAAGGTATTTAAAGTCCCTTCTCTGTGTGGGTTGGAGGGGGAAGGAAGGGTTGGCTCTGTCAAGAAGTCTGTATGGAAAGGGGGGCTCTGTCTGGCAGATTGTATGGGACAGTTTTTATCGATGGCCCTGCTTACATACTCATTTATAACAGGGAGGCATGGTGAGGGTCAGCACTGAGGCCAGGATTGTCCATGACGGCACTATGTAAGTACCTGTAATAATAAATAAATGTGCAGGTTGAGTGACTTCACCCCCCTGCCTGATGCAGCCCAAGTACCCCGTGGGCTTACAGCTTGGGGTAGTTGGCGAGGATGCCTCCAGTCTCTGAAATCTAAAGTTTACCATGGTAATGTCATTTATAAATTAATTTGCGTTATTTTTGCAAACTTCACAACTTTCTTAAAAATAATGCAAATACAACATAAAGATCACCACTCACCACCTAGACATTGCTTCATTAAAAACTGTCCCATACAATCTGCCAGACAGAGCCCCCCTTTCCATACAGACTTCTTGACAGAGCCAACCCTTCCCTCATCTTTAGCTCCGCTCCTCTTAGCTCTCAGTATTAGGGCAGGTCCTCAACTGCTTTGCTTACAATGCTGAACCACAAATCCCGCCTTGTATTTGATGATATGGAAGAGACTGTAAACACAATGCAAAGTTAAGATGTGGGGCTAAATTGCCTAGACTCTGAAAAGTGATCTGCATTTGGATCTCTTTTCAGAGGTGTTTGACAGGCAGTGAGCAGGTGATATGATGCCTCCTCATTACCTGTCTTCACCCAAATGCTGCACCAATGCATCGCAACTATGTGCAATTTGCTTGAAAAGGTTACATTCGGATGTGGTTTTGTCCACTGAAAGCAATAGGAGGAATTTTTGCCATGGCCTGGAAGCAAAACATTGTGATTGTGGCATTTGAACATCCCTATCCACTGGCTTTGCAGCTTAAGGGAGCACTAAAAATGCAACTCAGCTGTGTGTTTTTAATGCCCCCCCAACTGCAAGTCTAACCGAACCAGGGGCGGACTGACCATTTGGAAACTTGGGCACTGCCCGAGGGCCTGGGGTCAGTAGGGGGCCCCATGAGATGCCCCTGGTACCTTTTTCATAGGCTTTTTTGAGTTTGGGCAAGGACACAGGGGCCCCATGATCCCCTATTGTCCGGGTGCCCCATGAGTTGTCAGTCCGCCCCTGAAAATAACCCCAAAAGGACATAGGACTGTTCAAACCAAAGTGGAGGAAACTTGTGAGAACTAGGAATTAGGTTAAGTATTGTCCAGCTTTAAACCTATTGAATTTTTTCTGTACCTGGAGTATGGCATTAAAGCTGAAGTTTAATCTGCTAATATTTCACCTTTCCTGGTCCCCCCCCCCCCCATCAACATACCAATGAAAATTTGACATAAACCTTTACATTGTCATTACATACCTTAATATTGATTTTGCTGACAGAAGGACCATTTGGACATGTGTTAACATATGGATTTTTGCATGTCACATGCTTTCCATTCATATTACTGGGCAGCACAGTGGCTAAATGGTTAGCACTTCTGCCTGGCAGTACTAGGGTCATTGGTTCAAATCCCAGCCACAGAACCTCCTGCCTGGAGTTTGCATGTTCTCCCTGTGCCTGTGTGGGTTTCCTCCAGTTTCCTCCCACACTCCAAAGACATGCTGGTAGGTGAATTGGCTCCTGTCTAAATTGGCCCTAGTATGTGTATGTATGAATGTAAGTTAGGGACCTTAGATTGTACACCCCTTTAGGGTTAGGGACTGATGTGAATGTACAATATATATGTAAAGCGCAGCGTAAATTGATGGTGCTATATAAGTACCTGAAATAAATATTACTGCATTGCAATCGTGTAATACCAGCCATATGAAGGATTGCAGAGTTCAGGACTTGAAGGCATACAGTGCAAACCGCTGACCATTCTTTATCATTACTCCATAGCTTCTTGCAGTCCGTGGACCTTTCCAAACATGGGGACCTGTTATAGATGGGTCATACCTAAGGGACACACCAACACGACTTCTCCAGCAGAAGACTACCCAGAATATAGACCTGTTCATCGGAAGTACTGAACATGACGGCCTGATCAGCAGGGCCAAGGCTATTAAGGTAAGGTTTTGGAAAATTACAAAATTCATATGACATTTATGTGCTTCACAAGCTATTTTGGAACCCAAAGTGGAGCTGTGAGTAACTTTACAAGTCTGCATCACTAAATTCCTAACATGTTTCCACCTTTTATCTTTATAAAACCGTCCTAGAGTTTCGTATCAAGTCGCAAGGTGAGGTGAGAGACTGCAGCAGGGGTTTATCTGTGTCATGTGCAAAGAAACAAACAGAGGTTGCAAGGGCCTAGTGCATTACCTTCTAAAAATCCTCAGAGGAAGAGGTTCAGCCTCGAAACGCGTCAGTCATTTGGAGGCCTACAGGCCTCCAACAGCCACCATCTAGGGAGATTGGACCACGCTGTCTTTTTTGTGATGTGCCTTTGATTTTATTCTTTTGTGAGTATACTACTTTTATTCAATAAATCTCATTTTTAGAAGGTAATGCACTAGGCCCGTGCGCCCTCTGTTTGTTTCTTTGCACACAGCTCTGTCACGACCCGCGGTCGCCACCACCAACAGGGCGACAATCGCACAGCCACGACTAACAGTAATACGTCACGCCCACGGCGTCAGACCCCAGACCTTCTCACCAAACTCGTGACCGAAGGACCAGCCGATCTAAAACCGCGGTGTGACGCGCGTAACAAGGCCCCACCCAGCTGCACCCTACACAGCGATTGCCCAGCTAATGGTTTACAATTGGTGCCTGCAGCCTGAATGCGCTTGTTACTGGGTCGGGTTAATTACGCAACTAACCCTCTACTGCCACCACCACTTTTGTCGGAGACTGGGAAACTCCCGTTATAAAATATACACTATAATGATTGCAATATTGATCTATATAGCACAGCCCGCGGACCTACTATACAGAGATATAACAAACAGTAGCGTCTCTTCAAAGGCAGGGATTCGTGAATTGCAAGTAAGCGCTTAGAAACAGTTTAACACTTTCAGAAAGAAAGATTTATTACTAAAAGCGTCAGACAGATGCAATAAAAATATTTACAAGGAGATGTCACAAAAATATATATATATGTATATAAAGACACAGCAAAGAGATAATTAGGAAGAAGATTACAGGGTTAAGTTACTTGCCCATATGCCTGAGTTTGCAAATCCAAGATGCAGAGCAGAAAGGTTCTTTGATCTCCTATGTTACGATGTTACCTCGGAGATCTCTGTGTGTGTGTGTGTGTGCGAGTGTGACAAGCTCTAACTCTCTTGAAAGTCCCTCTCAAGGGGAGGGGGGGGGGGGCTCTGACTACACGTTTTGGGAGTGGTCATTGGGGAACTCTAAACTAAACTACCAGCTTCATATCCCATGACATGAACCATACAGTTGACCTGAGGAATGTGCATTTACTCTGGTCAGTTTGATAATGTGTGGGCTTATGCCATTTTGGGTGACAAAAGTTACACTTTAGTAGACGGCCTGTCTCCACTCTCATGTCTTCCTGGTTGTTCCACGCCATCTGCCAGGAGATAACTAGAAACAGAAAAAATATGAGCGCTGGATAATACACCAGAGAGCGGCTAGCATGAAAGGCAAATACCAGGAGCCTCAAAAGAAATATCAAACAACCATGCAGCGCTAATATGTACAATGATGCATGCAAATAATCATTTGGTGCAGGTAATAACTAGTAAAGTGAACACCACTTAATACTAAAAAAGGATCTTGAAAAAAGGAGACATTGCTGGAAGTGGCAGCAGAGGAGGCTTATTGGGATGATCTGGTGGCCACATCAGGATTGGTTAGACTCCCCCCGGTGGTGAGACGACTACACGCCCTCTGATATCTGGTGTCCCTGAGGTTGTGATGTTTGCCCAGCTGATGCAGGCCAGATGACCACTCTGTGATCCAGTTCCAGTTTGCAGTAGCCGGATGACCAGGAGTTGGTTAACACTCAAATGCGCACTAAGATTGCGCTCTCTGGTTAGTGCAATCTGCACTCATTTCTGCGGGAGGAATATGGTCACAGAAGTCACTTATTGTGTCACCTTTTTGTCCTGAAATTTTATATATATTATGCACCGCAAGAACACTCTTGTTGAAAGATTTATACTCACCATCATTATTATTCCTGGACTTTTCAGATAATTTTTTCAAGATCCTTTTTTAGTATTAAGTGGTGTTCACTTTACTAGTTATTACCTGCACCAAATGATTATTTGCATGCATCATTGTACGTATTAGCGCTGCATGGTTGCCAGGAGATAACGTTTGCCTCTCAGGACTGGAGGAGGGTAGGAATGAGGCTGAGGAATGCCTCAAACAAACAGACAGAACACAAAAAAGAGAGTGGAAAAGGGGGACTCCGCTCCAACAAGGATGAGCAAGTTTGCCACAAGCTCCCTTTGGATTTCCCTGGTCCGTTGAGGACAGCAAGGCCAAAAAGTACTCCATGTGGGGTTACTGACATTGTGGAGCTCATCGACCAGCGCAGGAGTTTCAGCATTCATTTGGTCATGCTTGTTTATCTGTGTCAAGCATTTTTGAACACAACCAAGAACTTATAGGCACCAGGATTAACATGATTGTGTCATCTCTGAGACAGCATCCCAGCCCAGGAAATAGATACAGAAGTAACCCTGGATTATAGCCAAACTAAAATTCTTCTGAAGAGAAAAGCAGATGAAGGGGTGTTCAAGGAAGTACTTCATGGGTAACAAGCTTTCAGTGTGCAGCTGGTGTAATGGTCCAGGGATTTGCTTCTTCCTGCAGGTCTTCTGCAACAGATCAGAATGATTTTCTGCATTGGTGCTGACCAATCAGAATCACTCTGATCTGCCCTGGAAGTGCTGCAGAAAAGAAAGGAGAAGAGGGAGGATTTCAAATCTCCAGACTGCTATACCAGCTTTGTAGGCACTGACAGCTCATTACCCACGGAGGTGAGTACAGCGGATACTGGGGGGTGGGGAGGGTGTACAGTGATCAACTTTTCTTTATATCTGAAAAGGTTAACTTACTGTATAATTTAAAGTGACCGTAAAAGTAATTTAAAAAAAAAACAAAAAAAAAAAACATGACATAGTCACCTGTTCTGTACAATGGTTTTATGCAGAGTAGCCCCAATCCTCCTCTTCATGGGTCCCCTGCCAGCTCTCCTGGCCCCTCCTCCCTGCTGAGTGCTTACTCGCTCCTGAGCCAGCTCTGTGGCTCCCTCCTCACTGCTTGATGTGATTGACAGCAACAGGAGCCAATAGCTCCCACTGCTGTGTCTCTGGGAGAGAGGCGGGAGAGCCGCAACTCTCATGCACATGGCTGGATCAAGTTTGGACTTAGACAAGTATTAGGGGGACGGAGGAAAAAAAAAACTGCACTCTGAAGGCTTTTTTTACCTTCATGCATAGAATGCATGAAGGTAAAAAAAACCTTCAGCCTTTCCTAACATCACATGTAGATTGAAGCTCATCCCTTTAAATTTAAATGAAACCGCAAATACAAAGTAGCAATAATGTTACGTTGTGTTTCTGCATTACTTTGCTAAACAGTGTTTACAAACATTGATCATGTTAACTTTTATATAGCAGTGGCTTGATTCTGTTGTTGTATTTACACAGCAAGTCACGGCTGTCAGTTTGACAACTGGGCATTGGCAGTAAAAGTGGATGCAAGGAGAAAGAGACCGGGCGTGCCATGTATGTCCTATGTATTGAGGTGTATGTAGCACAAGTAAAATACAAGCCTAGCTAATGTGGCTAACTGGTTACACTTCCACCTGGCAGTACTAGGGTCGTTGGTTCGAATCCCAACCACAGCACCACCTGCCTGGAGTTTGCATGTTCTCCCTGTGCCTGTGTGGGTTTCCTCTGGATACTCCAGTTTCCTCCCACACTCCAAAGACATGCTGGTAGGTGAATTGGATGCTGTCCAAATTGGCCCTAGTATGTAAGAAAGTAAGTTAGGGACCTTAGATTGTACACCCCTTGAGGGTTAGGGACTGATGTGAATGTACAATATGTATATAAAGTGCTGCATAAATTGACAGTGCTATATAAGTACCTGAAATAAATTGACATAGAGCTGTACTAATTTGTCACTTTTTTTTCCTGGAATTCAGCCCAAGATTCTAAGTTTTAATTCACAAGACTGTAACCCTCTAGTCGCTGACCTTTCCGGGAGCACGGTGACTTGTTGTGCCAGTAAGGGCAGTTTTTCTAGGAAGGTACACTTGTACTATACAGTCTGTATCTCTTGGCACATCTGTCACATGTGACCGCTATCAGGACTTATGTGAGGAAATATGTTCCATTAGTCAGCATAGATTTTTTTTCACATTGTTGCTGCTGTCAGAGATCGGAATAGACCAGAACAGATATTATTCTTTTTTTTTTTGTTATCTCTTAACAATACGCATATGCAAATATGAGTTCTGCGGCTGTAATTATGCTGCAATTATTTTGTGTCCAATTGAGGAAGAGTTTTCTTTGTAAGACGACCTAAAGAGTTCATTCACTTTTACCAAAAAACTGCAGGTAAGGGCTTGCGTGTAGATAAAAGCCGTGCAGCTTTGACCAAAATTAAATAGTAGCAGAGTTCCACCGAAAAGTGACCCCCATCTCCCTCCAGCCCTCCGCTGCCACATTTGGCACCTTTTGGGGTGGGGGAGTGGGTACACTTCCGGCTGAGTTTGTACAGTAGGAAACCAGCTGTGAAGCCACAAGGCTTCACTGCTGGTTTCCCTTAGTCAAGATGGCATTGCACAATCCCAATGCTCACGTTCCTGCATCGAGAACAAGTGGGTGCTGCGGTGACAATGGGCTGGAACCTAGAAGAATCAAAGGAGAAGAATGTCACCAGCACACCGAGGATCTCAAGTATGGGTCCAAAGCTCTAATAAACAATCACATAGTTACAGCAAGAGCAATGTTGCTTTTGCTGTAACAATGTGATTGCTTTATAAAGCTTTGGATCCATACTGGAGATCCTCAGGGTGCTGGTGGCATTCTTCACCTCAGTCAAGATAGCAGTGCCAGCACCCAACAGCCAATTGAAGA